GTCGACGCTCCGGTGAGGGAGAAGATATTCAGCTTCACCAGGGAATCAATTTTGCGGCTGAAATCCGCCGTTAATAATGTAAAATCGGAAGTCAACGGTGACGTTGACCGCACGACCGAGATTTCGTCGTTCCAGTCACTATGCGCGTTGCTGTGGCGTGCAGTCACGCGCGCTAGGAAATTCCCTTCCTCCAAAACGACGACGTTCCGTATGGCGGTTAACTGCCGGCACCGGGTCGAGCCGAACCTTGACCCGTTTTATTTCGGGAACGCAATACAGAGCATCCCGACTTACGCAACCGCCGGCGACGTGCTGTCCGGTGACATACGGTGGTGCGCCGGGAAGTTGAACAAGAACGTGAGGGCGCACGGAGACGCTACGGTGAGGAGGTGCGTAAAGGATTGGGAGCGGGACCCGCGGTGCTTCCCGTTGGGGAACTTCGACGGGGCGATGATCACGATGGGCAGCTCGCCGAGGTTCCCGACGTACGACAATGATTTCGGGTGGGGCAGACTGGTGGCGGTCCAAAGCGGTCGGGCCAATAAGTTTGACGGCAAGATTTCGGCTTTTCCCGGCCGAGAAGGCGGCGGGACTGTGGATTTAGAAGTCGTGCTGGCCCCTGAAACAATGGCGGGTATTGAGTCCGACCCAGAATTCATGCAATACGTTTCGGGTTTTTGAATGAATTTCTACGCACATTATTTCTTTTTGGCCGTTTTTAATCAACTTTTTCGCCTGTTTTTTTATTAAACCACCCTTTTGTAGCATAAAATCCAATGCATTTTTCTTTCGTGCATTAAATTTTTTACTCATTATTAGAGTAAATAAATTAAATAAAAATAATTATAACCAAACACCAATAATAAATGTGATATTTTAAGCTGAAAAAGATGTAGCATTTCTTCTCATGTATTCTTTTCGTCCCAAAAAAAATTTATGTTTTAGTTTTTACGCATTAGTAAATAAACTTCTATTCATGTCTGTCTATTATACTCCCTCCGGTTCTAAAAACATGGGAGCTATTAATTTTTAAGAGATTTAATGAAAGTGTACTTTGGTATTAAATTTCTAAAAAAAAATCTTTTGATGTATTGGGTAAAAGTATGATTTATTTGATGGATAGATTATTAGTAAAAAGATATGATGTGATAGATAGGGTATGAAAAAAGTAAGGAGTAAAATTGACTTTATAATAGAAATAAGAAATTTTTTTGGGACGAATGAAAAAAAAAAGAGAAAAGTTTTCAGGAACGGATGGAGTTTCTAAGATTTATCACATTTCTTTTTACTACGAGGTAAAAATAGTTTTTGTAGTACTTAAATATCTTAGATGAGATAGAATTTTTTATGGGATGCACAAAAAATGAATAAATTTTTTTAGGTACAGATGATAATTTTCACATGATAAAATTGGGATAGAGTAACAGGCGACTATTAATTAGACTTAGGGTTTGTTCATGATGGGAAATATTATCCAACTAGGATTTCTCAATCTAAATTGCTAATTAATATTACCATAATTTTCATCGCCAATTACTCTTCACAAATTACCCCATTATCATCCCTAAGCCAACCACCTACCAAAACTATTATCATCGCCAATTACTTCTCACAAATTACCCATCATCCCTAAGTTAACTTCCCAGGCCACCAAAACCAATTCTACCATTTTATATAGTTAAAACGCTCCATCAATGACTATAATGTCAAAATTATATACTATGTATTACCTCCTATATTAATAAAATCTCCCCGTTAGCATGGTATCATCGGAAAAGGTTCATGGTTTTCTCCCAATTTAAGTTTCCACGTCAAAAATAGTTTGTTCATATTTTCTGTGATTATTAAGAGCATTTACAATGGCAAGACAATGTCTTGCCATGTTATGCCATGTCAGTAAATTCCACTCAAATCATGGCATTTCATGGTCATTCCATCCCACTTTTCATTCCATGTGCAAGGCATGACTCTCTCTTTTTTTTTATTTTTTTTAATATTTTTAATATTTGTAATTTTTGAAAAAATATTTTTTTAAAAGAAGTAAACATATTTTAATAATAAAATAAATTTTTAAAATATTTTTTTATAATTAAAAAGTGCAAAAATAGACAAAAACAACGACTTGTCACTGTATGTTACGACACTCCACTCATATGTCACACGGGTGACTGGGTTACTTTTTATTGGTTGGAATAATCCATTTCACCGTGTGACATTTCATTTTTGTCTTGCCATTATCAATGTTCTAAGGTCTTTTTTCATTTTGACACAGTAAAAATGATAAAACTGATCATATCGAAACAATTAACACTACGTTCAATTTAGTTTTTCTACTTATTATTACATATTTTATTAAAATCAAATTAAAGCAAATTATGTCAAATCAATTCAGAAATAACTTTAAATATAATTATAATCATTTTAGATTGAATATAATATTTCAATAAGGGAGTGAGAGAATACCATATTCAAGTCGAACATTGAATGCATGATATATGGATTGATTGAATGCAACCTTTTCAATTGGGACCTTTTCAATTGGGGAATGCTAAGTTCACAAATATATTGATCACAAACTCCACAAACTTACTATTTATGGTTTAAATTCTCATTTTAAAATTATTTTAGACTATTTATTTTATTTATTGAAGTTCACAAATGGTAAGTTTGTGAAGTTTGTGAAGTTTAAGTTTGTGAATCAAACATTTCCCTTTTCAATTTTAAAATGCAAACAAGCTTTTCCGTAGTACTAGGGTATGATTTTTCCAAGATTCCTAAAACTTTAGAGGGAAAGTCTCCCAAGTTTTTCAAACGACCGACTTTGAAAACCGACTAAGGGCCTGTTTGGGATTAGCTTTAGAGATTAGCGTTAGCGTTTTGAAAAGGCTATCTACGGCCAGCGTTTAGCGTTAGCGTTTTCAAATTAATCTGCATCGTTAAAATCTTATCCAAAACGCTAACGCTAATCTCTAACGCTTTTCTCAAATAGGCCCATAGCAAAATGGGCAACACTTTTTGTAAGGGTAAATTCTTTGATAGGTAGGGTATGAAAAAGTAAGGATAAAAATGGTTTTTTAATAGAAAGTGGAAGTATTTTGTTAAAAATAAAAAAATGAAAAATGAAGTATTTTTGAAAATCGAAAGAGTATTTTACGTGTGCACCTTAGGATCATGTACAATAACACAACTCTTATACTCCGTAATAATGTTATTTTTTGACATTTTGACCCAATTTAGCTCCTTTATTGATCAAAAGGATATTTGAGTGATGGGAGGGGATTGGGTGGGGCTTGGGGGGCTTGGGTAGAGGATAAGGGGGGATTAGGGGTAGTAGAAACCATAGTTTTAAAAACCAGACCGGGAACCGGACGCCGAGCCGGTCCGGTCCAAGCAATTAGACCGTGTGCTGCATAGAACCGGTAGAAACCGGTTAAACCCGGAGAAAACCGGCCGGTTTTAACACCGGAACCGGTATTTTAACTCATTTATAAAGATTTCTAAAAAACACTTACCCCAGGACTGATGGGGTGGACGAGGCGTCTAGAGACCATCTCGGCTACCCTGCTTTGTGTTTACTTTCTACGATTCACTTAATATATTCTATATTTAGGTTTTTTTATCAAATACTTTTTAAGTATATATAGTTTTTTTTACTAAAATTTAAACCCATTGATGTAATTTATATGAAGTGCATATCACACAAATATTTTATATATATTTATTTAAATTATAGGTAAAAGTTTTAAAAAAATTCAAATTACTTTTTATTTATAAGTTTTTTTAAATAAGTAAATTTTATTTTTTATTTAAAGACACAACTCAAGTAAATTAAGTTAAATTATAAATCAATTCTTTTATTTATAAAAAGAGAAAATGTTATTTTATTTACTTATATATATATATATATATATATTTATTTATTTATTTATTAAAAATGTTTGAACCACTGGTTCAACCACTCGAACCACTGGTTCGACCAGTAAACCAGTGAACCAGTGCCTTGACCGGTTCGATCACCAGTTCGGTTCTGAAAACTATGGTAGAAACATTTAGTTTTATGAAATGCATCGCAAATTAATTTTATTTGTGTCAGTACGTGTCATCCGTTGACCCGAGCCCTCATTAGAGTGTTGACCGAAACATGCCCATATTAGTTAACCCATCCTATCTAATGACATGAAAATCTTATACTGATGGTAATTTTGAAAATTTGTTATATAAAAAAGATGAAATCCATCCTTGATGGTCTCTCAAAATGGATCGGATGATCACTTGAGATGATGTAAATTAGATTTTATTTTCAGATTGATGACAAAGAGTACATCCAGCACTTGATACTCCCTCCGTTTTCAAAAAGAGTTCCTACTTTGAAAAAGTGGAAAAATAAGAAAGTGTTAAATTGTAGTTGACTTCCAATTTTGCCCTTGATGTGATGGGTAAAAGTAAGATGTGATGGGTAGATTATTAGAGAAAAAGTATGATGTGATAGGTAGGATATGAAAAAGTAAGGGTAAAAATGGTTTGTTAATAGAAAGTAGTAGTGTTTTGTTGGAAGTGAAAAAAATAAAAGAAGAAGTGTTTTTGAGAACGGAAGGAGTACTACTTATCAAGGCATTATGCTTAACATAGTTTTCAGGAAATGAATTCAAGTATAATCCCCTTGCCCTTAGCTTGCATTGCCAATTGTGCAATGATCACTGGAAAAAATTTGGAGGGCAAATCTTTTATGATAGACTGCCCACCGCACTGCAGCGCAGCCTCACCACAAGAAACGTAACTCTGACCTCCGAAACAAACATGCATACGAATTAGTATACTCTGTGTATTAGAGATTGATGAGTACGTGATGAACATTACAAAAGCATATATATATATATATATATATATATATATATATATATTTATTAATTGTAATAACTAAGGACTCAGTCTGACTCTCTATTTACGATCCGGGAAAGAATCGTAAAAAAATTCAGAAAAGGAGCTTATAATCACCAACTCCACTCAACAACAGTTTAATCAAAGTGCATTACAATAATTGATACTGCATAAATAGTAAATATCGCGTAAATTTGCACTAAATAACAGGGAGAAACAAAAGAGTAGGTTAATAATTAGAGTGGGTTGTTTAAGAGAGCAATGGCGGCCCCATCCTGCAGGAGTTTCCAAGCGGAAATGATATGCCTCTCTTCAGTGAGTGGGGCTCCCACCACAAGGCGCAGAACGTATTTGTTGTGAGAGAGAACGGTGTGGGTTATGAACATCTTCCCGGAGGAGTTGACGTATTCAAGAAGATCGCGGCTGAGTTTGTTGGAATGAGCTTCGCCGTCGTCATTCCCATCACCAGCTGGCGACCGGAGCCGAAAGCACACTAACGAGAAGTTTCTGCGCGTCACCACCTCGAACCTGGGGTCGCCGGAAACAAGTCCCTCAAACAGTTTGGCCAATTCTATATGGTTCCTCAGGTAGTTCTCAAGCATCTCCAAGCCATACAGTCTTAAAACCATCCATAATTTAAGCGATCTGCATGCATGCATGCGGGGTTATTAATTAGAAATATTTGTACTAAATAACACTAAAACTTAAGTCATCTCCCTAAATAATACTCCATCTGTTCTCAAAAATATTTCCTCTTTCATTTTTTCAACTTCCAACAAAATACTTCTCCTTTCTATTAAAAAACCACTTTTACCCTTACTTTTTCATACCCTACCTATCACATCATATTTTTTCTCTAATAATCTATCCATCACATCTTATTTTAATTTTACTCATCACATCAGGGGCAAAATTAGAAATCAACTATAATTTAATACTCCCTCCGTTCCATAAAACCCTTCATCTTTTGTTTTTTTGCTTTCCACAAAACACTTCCATTTTCTATTAAAAAACCACTTTTACCCCTACTTTTTCATACCATACCTATCACATCATACTTTTTCACTAATAACCAAACTATCACATCTTACTTTTTCCCATCACATCAAGGGAAAAATTGGAAAGTCAACCAAAATTTCACTTTCCTTATTTTCCCCCAAAGTCAAAACCGGAAGGGTTTTGTGGAACGGAGGGAGTACTTCTTTATTTTTGCCCCCAAATCAAATGGGAAGGGGTTTTCCAAACGGAGGGAGTAGCACTTAAATTGTTTTTATTCCATAAATAGCACTTAATTATACTCACATAGTATTAGATTATACTCCCTCCGTCCCAGAAAACCTTTCTCATTTCTTTTTTCATCCGTCCCAAAAAACACTTCTCATTTCTATTAAAAAGTCACTTTTACCCCTTACTTTTTCATACTCTACCTATCACATCATACCTTTTTACTAATAATATATCCATCAAATCATACTTTTACACATCACATCAAAGAACATTTTTGAAAATTCTATACCAAAATACACTCTCCTTAAATTCCTCTCCAAAACCAAAACTCCCATGTTTTTTTGGAATGGAGGGAGTATTAAATAGGTTTTGGTGAAGATGTGAATACTCCGTATGTGATTGAGAAGCTAACATATATACCTGAACCTGCGACCGAGAGGAATTTGCCAATCTTTGTAATCTACCACCATGTTCTCTTCAGTAGCCTGAAAATGGTATTTACTTTTACATGTGGGATCGGAGAAATTAATTGTATGAACACAGAGATGCATGGAATATTATTAGCTATATATGTACTCCCTTTATGCAAAATATTTCTCGTTTTGATTTCTACAAGATCTAAGAGAAATGTATTTTAATGTAGATATTCCAAAAATATCCTTGGATGTGGATAAAAATATATAAGATGTGTTACATAGATTAATAATGAAAAAATGTGATATAATAAGAATTAGTAAAAGTAAAAATAATTTTTTTAATAGAATTGAGAAATAGGGTATTTTTTAAAAGACAAATCAAAAGAAAAGTGAAATGTTTTGTGGGAGTTTGTACGTGCTCCTTGATGCTTACCCTATTTTGAAGGTATTCAGGGTTAGTTGAGAGGGCCTGAATGAGATCACTTCGCTCCTGCATATATATATTCATCAAATAATTAATAAGCATAAATAGCATAAGATAAATTACTATAAATTGTTGTTCATCATCAACAACTTAGTGATTAAAAAGCAAAAAAAAGAGGCATGAAGAATTGATCAATTGAATTGAATTAGGGGTAATTTACCTAAATAGGACTAAAACATAATGACTTTCTCAATATAGGACCATATGTTTTTATTTCCCAATATAGGATCATTGGTCATTATCTATTAGTCATTATTCAACTAAATGTCCAGCATCACTTGGATATTATTCTTCTCACTAGTCATTTATTCATTCATATTTAGGAAATAAAAAAGTTTAAGTCCTATTTTAGGAAATAACTTATGTTTTAATCCTATTCAGTGCAAATTTCACTTGAATTAGTACGTACCTTAATCCAAAGCAGAGAACAGTCGAAATTGGTAAGAAACCATTTGTGTGCATTCATTGTGAAGGAGTCAGCTTCTTCGACACCGTCCAAATGGTGTCGAAGCTCAGGACATATACAACCACTCCCACCATACGCACCATCCACATGAAACCACATCCCATTGCTCTATTATATAATTATATATGTAAGTGTATAATAATTAATATGTTGTGTTAACTATTAGTTTCATGAGAAAGGAATAACTCCTCCATGGATAGATTTTTACCTTAGCAATACTCCCAAGTGCTGGTAAGGGATCAATGGCAGTTGATGAAGTAGTACCAACCTATGTACGTACCAAAGCCAACGAATTTAACGATATATATATATATATATATATATATATATATATATATATATATATATATATATATATATATATATATATATATATATATATATATATATATATATATATATATATATATTCCCAAGTGCTGGTTAGGGGGGCGTGTTTGCACAATTTAAAAATCACAGGAATTTTACAAATAACTTTTACAAAGAGAGATGATTTGGGTGCTCTTTTTATAAACTAGGGGGCACACGAGCTTTTAGCCCTATATATATATACTCGTACAATATGTACTCGGATATATCAGTTCGTACTTGAATATAATTACTCCCTCCGTTCTTTAAAACAGTTTCTGTTTTGATGAATTGAAATAGGGAGTATAAATATGTCTTACAGTTCCGCATAGGAAGAAGGGGATTAAACCAGCTGCAATGTCTTGTGATATAGCTTGTTGGAGTGAGTTTGGAGATATAGCATATTCACTAGATGAGTCTGTCTTTATGAAATGAAAATTTTCTGGATATATTCCTGCTATCTGCCAAAAACCAAAAATTCATTTATCAGAGCTACCTAGCTAATTAGAGTGTAGGCGGCATTGATTAAAGAAATATTTGCACTAAATAGCACTAAAACTTAAGTCATTTCTCTAAATAGCACTTAAAATGTTTTATTCCCTAAATAGCACTTAATAATGTCCATAATGACCAATGATGGCGAACATTTACTTGAATAATGACTAATGGATAATGACTAAAAGTGCTACATTGGAAAAAAAACACATGCAGTGCTATTTAGGGAAAGTCATTATGTTTTAGTGCTATTTACGTAAATTCCTCTTGATTAAATTGCATGCATACATACCCGGGAGGCCTTTTGTACAGATGAATGAGTCTGATCAGATGCATAGACCACAAGCTTCCCCAAACACTCTTTTCCCACTCGCCTCAGAATTTTGTCGCGTGCCGCCAAAAGCACCACAAGAACAGATTCACTGGCCGACCCTTGTATAACTCCACCCCCACTTCCCGTTGAGAGAAAAGAGTGTGGCAAGTTGAGTGCTTTGGCGACCCAATCCAAAACAGTCATTTCCAGTTCTGTTGCCGCTGGAGAGCTGATCCAGCTGAAACCCACAACACTCAATCCAGAAATAAGCATTTCCCCCAGAAATGAAGCCACGCTGTTGTTTGATGGAAAATATGCATAAAAGTCCGGGCTTTGCCAATGCGTAACTCCCGGCAATATCTTTTTCTCCACATCTGCATGTGCACCCGCACCAATGTAAAACATTTCGGGACGGAATCGAATATAATTATTAGTAAGTACGTACTCCACTTTTACTACGCAGATGCTCCCTTCGTCGTCCCACAAACTTGGCATTCTGGTTTTGATTTTTAAACGATTTAAAAGAACAGTATTTTGGTGTAGGTTGACTTTCCAAAAAAGGCTTTTACATGTGATGGATAAAAAAGTAGTAGTATGTGATTGGTATATTAGTATTAAAAAATGTGATTTGATATGTATGTTAAAAATTAAATAGTAGGCGTAAAAGTTACTCCCTCCGTCCGCCTAAGATGTTCTCATTTTGACTTTTGGTGATTTTTAAGGAGAGTTGAAAAAAGGTGAAAGTTTACCATAATACCCTTAATGAAAAATGGGTGGAGTGTATTAAATGAGATGGGTGAGGTGTAATAAATAAAGTAAGTGTGAGTAGTTGTTGTATTTTACTTGTTAAAAAATGAAATGAGAAGATCTATGGGAGTAAAGGGCTATTGGGAAGATCTATGGTGGACAGAAGGAGTACTTTTTTAATACAAATGAACAAGGTTTTCTTGAGACCGGTGAAAAAAAAGGTAGAAAGATTTTCTGGGACGGAAGGAGTATTAGTTTTACCTTGAAGAACATCCTTCAATGTCTCGGGGTATGTAGGTGCAGATTCTGGCAGAATCTCGCGTAGATACCCTGGCTGTAAAAAAAAAAGAAGAAAAGAATTCAAGAAGAAGAAGAAATAAGAGGTAATGTTGTAGAAATAAGATTAAAGAATAATGGAGTAAAATGTACATACCTGAACTTGACTGAGAACAGGGAAGGTCTCAATGTTGTTGTAGTAGTCGGCAATGAAATCCACCATTTTGTGACCGCACTCTCTCAGCTGTTCTGCGTCCATTGCCTTCAACTTCCCTCCTCCCTCCCTGAAATAATTATATATTATTATTAACTATTTATATATAATTCATGAATAATCAACCATTAATGGCTGGATATCGATCTTACATGATGATAATAATATATAATATGTCTTTTAATTTTTTCTTTCTTTTTTGCCGCTTCTCAGTTTTCCCGGTGATCTCCTTCTCAAGTTGGGTGGAGGAAGACGATGACCCTTAAAGGGAGCATATATAGAATCCAGTATGTGCCTTATTTTCCTTGCCAACTCAGCAAATTATATTTTTACGGGAAACTTGTCTAGCTTTCCATAATAGGCAAATTCTAGAAGAAATAAGGCTAAAAGTGATTTTGGTTCAAGGAATTTGGAAAGGAAAAGAAAAGAAAAAGAAGTGAAAAATAGTTTTTCTTATTTGGTTAGAGAGAAAAAGAATGGAAAAGTGGAAGAAAAATGAAATGAGAATGAAAAATGTACCAAGTAGAGGGAAAACAAATTTCTCTCATCTTGACGAGAAAATGAGAGAAAATCATTTTCTTTTCTTTTCTTTCCTAGATCTTATTGGACCATATTATTTTGATAATGACTAAAAGTCCTACATTGAGAAATAAAAACATATGGTCATATATTGAGAAAGTCATTATGTTTTAGTTCTATTTAGATAAATTTCTCTTTTATCAAATGGGGAAAAAATAGATTAACAAATTGAACAAAGTTTAAATTGACCTTGTGGACAGATGGGGAAATCTTGTGCAAGTCGACAAACAAAGTTTGTGTAAAATTCATTAAGCCCCGTTTGGTACACGAAATTCAAACTATAGAATTGGAATTGATGACTTCAATTCCAATTCTCGTGTTTGGTAGTACAAAAATTATGTGGATTTGGAATTGGTAGTACAAAAAATGAATTGGAATTGGTGATTTCAATTCTATGGAATTGAATCCCATAAAATTTTAATTCTAATTTAATTCCAATTCCATCAATTCCGTGTACCAAACGGACCCTTACATTATTTTCAATGACATGAATGATTAGAAAGAAGAAATAATAGTTAAATACAAATGTACTAGCATTAATCCCGTGCACGATCTCGTATACATTCTAAATTTTTTTACACTCAATTAATAAAGTTTTCTTTATTATAGTTATTTAATAAAATTATAATATGTGCTCTATAAAATTTTAAATAGAATTTTATATTTAATTTTATGAAGATGTAATATTTGTGTTTTTATTTTTTATTTTTAAAATAAAAAATAAGCACAAACAATTTCTTATTGTTAAAAATTATGCATGGACAAATTAATGCAACATTCAAAAAATTAATATGAAATATATATTTTAAATTTAACGTTTAGATGTATTAAAATTATATAGAATAAACTAAATGGTGAATAGTTTAAAAATTTATCAATAGTTTTATTTTTTAAAAACATAACATTTATATGATGAAAAACGTAAAATAATTTTTTGCAGTCTAAAGAACGGAGTATGGATAGTTGTATTTTTAAAAACATAACCTTTATATAATGAAAATCATAAACATAACCTTTACAACAAACAATTGTTTTCAAAAGAAATAATTTTTCGAGCCCCCCTTAAAATACACAAAATAAGAACTTCCTCTTCTAATTGTCCCAATTTCCATGATATCATCATATATTTTCATTGTCATAGTTTGACTCCTTGACCAACAAACTCTTTTGAAACGTATTAGGTGGGGTTAATTGGAAATGATATGTCACTATTCTTTTAAAGATTGTATATTTGAATTAATTAAGTAGGATCTCAATCTCAACCAAATATTAATTTTAAGACCTAAGGCAAGATGTAAAATTCTGCAAATAATAGAGTTTGCTTTAAAATATTACTAAATTAATTCCTTATCATTTACTTCATACATTTTTTATAAAAACATCACACATTTCATTGGCATCAATATATACATAAAAAAGAATAGCTAGATTGACTAAAGAGTACTCCCTCCGTCCCCCTAAGATGTTCTCATTTTGACTTTTGGTGGTTTTTAAGGAGAGTTGAAAAAAGGTAAAAGTTTACCATAATACCCTTAATGAAAATGGGTGGAGTGTATTAAATGAGGTGGGTGAGGTGTAATAAATAAAGTAAGTGGGGGTAGTTGTGGTATTTTAATTGTTAAAAAATGAAATGAGAAGATCTATTGTGGACAAAAAAAAAAGGTTATTGGGAAGATCTATGGGGGACGGAGGAAGTACTATTTTTTCCCATCAACTAAAATAAAATCTCATCAACTAAGAGTTTTCACATTTTTTTAAACAATTTGTGGACGGATCTTTACATTATTCGGTAATAGAACGACAAACCAAACAACTTTCGTAATTAATTATTTTTGGACCCTAGCTCGTATACTACATGTCAGCTTCTTAGAGACTGGAGTCTCATTTTTATATATAACAGATTACTCATTCATATTGTAATCAGATCAGATCAAATTCTAAACACATTTAAATGTAACTACAATCATGTCAAAGCAAACCAGGTCCAATTATATCAAATCATATTTTTCATAAAACCCGCTCAGATTCAATTAGATCATACGAAGAGAACAAGCTCTTACCTTATAAATACTCTACTATACTTCAATTTGGTTAAGTATGGTTATTTTTAGTTCGATTTATCTTAAAATTGGTGTAAAAATTTGAAATAAAAATTATATATCTAATAAACTATACCAAAAGATCTAGTCCTTCCGTCATGATAAAATTTTTTTGACTTTGGAAAAAGTGAAATTTAAAGAATGTAAATTTTGGTATTAATGTCCAAAATTAATAAGATATAGTGAGTAGTATAGGTAAAAGAAAATTTTAATTGAAAGTGAAAATGTTTATTGGGATGGATGAAAAATAGAAATATTTATTGGGACGAAGGGAATATAAAAATAAGAGGTGACATAATTAGGTCAAATTGTACTGGTATCCCCCGTGGTTTAAAAATAAGCCCCAATACACTCACTATTTTCAAAATATATTTCTAAAGTCTCTGTGGTTTTAAAAACATTGCACCCTCCTCTGATCATTTTCCATTCATTTTTCTATTGAAGAAGGTGGCTTCAAACCTTTCTTATTTTTCATTTATTTTTTGTTTTTATCTTTTTTACCTATTTTTGTTTCTTTTATGGAGTATTAATCAAGGTTTTTTAAATTTCTTTTTAAGAATGTTTTTAAAATATTCTTAGAATTTAAAATTATTTTTGTTTGAATAATAATAATTAACATATAATGTGTTTGTACGTCTCAAATTAAAAAGTTTTATTTTTTGGTTTCCGAAATAAATTATTTCAAATCTGCATTACATTTGGTGTGAACACAATGCATTTTTAGTCTTTCTCATCACATACAATGTCACTTATGAGTCATTATTTACCAAATCACAAATTAATACGGAGTAAAATTTAAAGGATAAATCTCATTACATATACCAGCCATTACAGTACGTACATGCATATTTTACAATACGTACTGCAGCAATATATGAGAGCGATGCATACAATTTTAAAAACTATCACATAAGGAAATAAATTTTGCATAAAAATTAAATAGTTTTTAGTCAAATAAGGTAATGAAAAAAATAAATTCCTTGCACCATAAGAAATAAATAAAAATAAAGCAAAAAAATAAAGTATTACAAAGAGTTCAATTATAAAAGCTATTTCTTATTCATTTTTATAAAAGAAAAATGGTTCACAAATTTGAAAAAAGAGGAAAAAATAAGAAACCATTAATATGACAATAACTCATGTGTATGATGATGAAATTCACAGTGTACTACAACAATTACCCGCACTTTCCACCATACATATGTCCAATGTACGATGCATTTACGACAACCGTAGATGCATCAATGACCTGCCGCGGATTGTGTTACGGTGTGTATGAAAACAATAAATGCAATTAACGGTTCAAATATGGTAAATGCGAGAAAAGGGGGATCCGAATGATAATTTCCCTGCACTAACTTTAATCCACACACTAAATTCACTCCATTAGTTTCTACATTACTTTTAATACTTATTCAGAAAAATCATTTTTAACCCATGAACTCATATACAACATTTTGCAATTTTAAGAATTTGATAAAAATTTTAGTTTGAATCATAATATAAATTTTTGTTCTTGAAAATAAATAAAAGAGAAGAATGGTGAATAATATTTAAGATTATACTCCATATAATTTTTTTAAGTAAAATTTGTATAACCATCTTTTTTAATTAATAAAATAACGATGTAGATTAAAAATGGTGAAATACATATTGGTATAATACTTAGAAAATGGAATATTTTATACAAAATCAATGGACATTCAATGTATTAACAATCAAAGTTATTTTAACTAATGACAAATTAAAAGAAGATGCACCAAAGTTTTGTAATTAAAATTATAACTAATATATATAATTTTATTTGAAAAGTAATAAAATGAAATAAATGATGAATAGTTTTAAACATTTTTTATAACTTTTTTGAATAATAACTTAATAATATTTGTGGGGTGTATTTAGTTTTTTAGTGTGGCTCTCACCATCCTAATTTTTTGTTAACTGCTTAGTAGTAATCAAAAAGCTGTTCCGCATTTTCTAAAGTTTATTGTTAACAGCGAAGTAGAAATCAAAAGCTTTTCCGCATTTTCTAAAGTTTTAGGAATCTTTGAAAACCCATAAAAGCTCTTCTACATTTTCTAAAGTGTTAGGAGACTTCAAAAACACATGTTACCTTTTCTGCATTTTCTAAAGTTCTAGGAAGCTTCGAAAAAATATACGGAGTACCGAGTAAAAGCTTTTCAGCTTTTTGAAATTGAAAAAATTGGATTCAATCAAGAAATCCGTATTTCATGGCCGTTATTGCACGATAAGAATGTTTTACTACACCCTCCGTCCCCTTAAGATGTTCTCATTTTGACTTTTGGTGGTTTTTAAGGAGAGTTGAAAAAAAATGAAAATTTACCATAATACCTTTAATGAAAAATGAGTGGAGTGTATTAAATGAGGTGGTTGAGGTGTAATAAATAATGTAAGTGGGGGTAGTTGTTGTATTTTAATTGTTAAAAAATGAAATGAGAAGATCTATTGTGGACAAAAAAAAGGGTTATTGGAAAGATCTATGGGGGACGGAGGGAGTATTTTTTTAAAAGAAAACAATTATAACTTTTATGATATAAATAAATTGAATTCAAATAAAACTTTATGTAGGAAATTAACAAATGAATTTATATGATAGATAACAATGTTGAATAAATATTTGAGTTACACACCAATAAATAATCTAGTTTGCTATAAGAGATATCCTACTTCTTTCTAATACATCAATAAATTTATCAAAACAATTACGGGTCTGTTTTATGGCTACGTACTATCCTAATTTGGACACATATGATAGGGAGCGTCTAAAATGACACCAGTTACTTATACACCAGTTGCTTACACCAGTTCGTTTGGGGTACCTAGGGTGCGTAGGGAGGAGGGTGGGAGGGGGTAGGGGTGGGGCTGGGTGGGGGATTTAGGTGGAGGGTTGGGGGGGGTAGGAACTGTCATTTTTACAAACGGGGCACCATAGGTACCCCAAACGAACTGGTGTAAGCAAATGACACCAGTAGCACTGGTGTCATTTTAGACTTACCGCATATGATATTCCGTTCATAGAATTAATACTCTCTCCGTTCCACAAAACCCTTCCGATTTTGACTTTGGGGGAAAATAAGGAAAATGTAATTTTGGTTGACTTTCCAATTTTGTCCTTGATGTGATGGAAAAAAGTAAGATGTGATAGTTTGGTTATTAGTAAAAAAGTATGATGTGATAGGTAGGGTATGAAAAAGTAGGGGTAAAAGTTGTTTTTTTAATACAAAGTGGAAGTGTTTTGTGGAAAGCAAAAAAAAACGAAAGAGGAAGGGTTTTGTGGAACGAAGAGAGTAGTTTCCACTTCACCAACTTAACCCCCAGTAAACTCCTCCCCCACCTAGTCTGATTCTGACCCCAAACTATCCCCCTCCCATGTCAATTTCACCCCGCAAGTTTACTAGTGTATTTAGGAGAGTAAGAACTTTCAATTCTACGAAGGTAGGGAGTGCCTCACTAGACAATATCAAAGAGAACATATTTACTCTGGGAGGAATATTAACATGGACTAAAATCTACCATTGGTCTTTCAACTTTATTAGTTGTGCACGATTGGTACTAGAAAAAATTAGAAAAAATTTGAAGAAGTTGGAAAGAGTTAGAATAAACTAGAAAAATTTAAAAAAATAGAAGTTAATTTTTTTTTAACTCAAAACAACAAGAATTATTAAATAGGGGGAATTTACTTAAATAGCACTAAAACATAATGACTTTCCCTAAATAGCACCACATGTGTTTTTCTTCGTATCACTTTTAGTCATTATGCATTAGTCATTATTCAAGTAAATATTTGCCATCACCGGACATTATGGACATTATTAAATGCTATTTAGGGAATAAAACAATTTAAGTACTATTTAGAGAAATGATTTAAATTTTAGTGCTATTTAGTGCAAATATTTCATTATAAATAGTTACTCCGTATTATATAACTTGAGCTTGACCTAATAATAAGCCCGATATTAACGAGCACATTAACAAGATCCGAGTGCATTCCGGAGGGTGTGCAAAGTGGCCAACCGTACATGGTCTCTAAAATTTTAGGGCCCTATATATTTTTAAATTTATTCATAATTTTATATAATTTTATAGCAAAGGTATTCTAAAAAAATAAAATAGGGCCCAAAATGTAAATTTTGGACCGAGCCAATTTTATTTTTTCATTTTTCGGGGCCGGCCCTGAACCAAAGGTTCACATAAAATTCAAAATTTGGCATTGTATGTTTATATATTGACACATGAGAGCATTCCTTAACACTTCATTTTTCATTATACATTAGTATGATTGATATTGTGGCTTCATGTAGTGTCATGTTTGTCTATACGAGCAATGCTAGGGGTACACCTTCTCATTTGTCCCTCACCCCCTTCTCCACCACATTTTTTATTTCATTTTTAATTAATTATTTATTTTTAAATTTTTTGCCCATTTATGTGGTGGGAGCAGTGGCAAATCCAGAAATTCAGGTAGATGGGGGCACAATTGATCAGGGCAGCGCCCCTAATTTTTTTAAAAAATAGACAATTTAAAATGACAAAAATAATGAATTTTATTTTAAACATTTATTAAATGTAAAATTTTATTTAATTGAGGATGTAAAATTTTATTTTAAACAGTAAATTAAATGCAATAAAATACACTTTACTTCCATAAGATTAAACAAAAAAAATTAAAAACTACCTTAATTAAATAAGGTTCCATACATTTTTGTAAGAAGTAAATAATTTGAGATGGGGTCAATCCTAATTTTAGATGGGGGCATGAAGCCCATTGCATAAGAAATTTTTATTTTTTAAAAAAGAATTAGTTTAACACTAGAATTTAGTTGGGGGCATTGGCCCCCAATTGTGTTCAAGTAGGTCCGCCCCTGGGTGGGAGAGGGGTGGGGGACAAATGGGGTACACCATTTCGGTGTACTCCTAGCATTTTTCATACATTATCATTTTTGACAATTACTCCTCCTTCCAAAATTGAAACTTCTCACTTTCACTTAACATTTAAGGTAGAGTTAAAATTATTTGACTTCCCCCCACCTAAGTATTTCCCCATGCAACCCATGCCATCCTCACGTCCAATTTTAAATGCCTCATGTTCTTCATCAATTCCTTAACCTCAACCCCCATTCCCCATGCCCTTCGTATCATCATCTTCATATTAAACATATTTACAGCAAAAATTTACATCATTATATAGCAAAGCAAATTAACCAAGATCTAAAAGCCAATCTATAAAAAAAAATATAGCAACATGCACCAAATTTATTAGAATCTGAACCTCTTAAAATAAAAGAAAAAATCAAATCTCGCATAATACAGAAAATCTTCTTTAGAATGGATCGGGAGCAAATTCATCTCTTTCTGAAGCTCGAGCTCCGTCTCATCGACATCGTCTTCTGCGTAAAGCGCATCATTCTAATGGAATGCCAAATGTTTCAAGAAAGGGCTCATCTTCATCAGATCTAGAAGCTTCGCTGTGATCCACCGTCGACAAAGGATAAAGAACTGGAATCCAGGTGAAGCAAGATTAAGATTCGATCATAATTGAGAGAATCTGAAGAAGGGGAAAGGAAGAATAAATGGGGAACGGGGGACGTCTGATGCAGAAGGAGAACAGGGGTGGGGGGGAAGAAGAAGAAGGGGGAAGGACTGGTGTTGAAGATGAAGNAATGATTGAATGAGAGAGGGGTATGAGAGAGAGAAAAGAAGGGTAAAAGGATAAGTTTAGGAGCATTTTAATAAGGAGTACCAATTTAGGAAATGCGAATACGTAAGTGGGACGACTCATAAAGAAAACTGGAAAGAAAGATATGGAGTATATCTTTGATATTGTAGCTTAAGTTACGTTGTAGTAACAATTTTTTTTCTGAGCTACCTCTGGGGATAGATAAAAGATGCTAAGTTGTAGATTAATACTCCCTCCGTCCCTGAGTGTTTGTCCACTTTTGACTTTTGGAACGGTTCATCTAAGCACTTTGACTCATCAAATTCTCTCAATGTGTAAGCCTAAAAATAGTCATGTGTGATCTTGTTTGATTCGTTTTAACATATAGATTGTTAATATATATTTTTTATAATTTTTTAATATACAAATGACAAGATAACACCATCCAATGCACTTCGTTAATCCATTTTATCTTGTAATTTGTATATTAAAAAATTATAAAAAATATATATTAACAATCTATATGTTAAAACGAATCAAACAAGATCACACATGACTATTTTTAGGCTTACACATTGAGAGAATTTGATGAGTCAAAGTGCTTAGATGAACAGTTCCAAAAATCAAAAGTGGACAAACACTCAGGGACGGACCAAGTATAAAATGATGAACCCAACTCTAGTTCATTGTGGTAATTATTTTTGGGTAGATAAGTACACTACCCGACTACTAGTATACATATTGGTAGTCTAAGATCATGTTCTCTTCGATTTATTTTTTATTAAACATTCCATACTTATTTTTAATATAATCGAATCAGATCAGATCAAAGTCGTTCAATAACTAGAAACGTATTGCATAAATTCCGGGTCGGACTCGATACCCGCCATTATTTCAGGTGAGAGGGCAACTTCTAAATCCACAGCCCCGCCGCCTTCTCGGCCGGGAAAAGCCGAAATATTGCCGTCAAACTTATTGGCCCGACCGCTTCGGACCGCAACCGGTCTTCCCCACCCGAAATCGTTGTCGTACATCGGGAGCCTCGGCGAGCTCCCCATCGTGATCGTCGCCCCGTCAAAGTTCCCCATCTGGAAGCAGTGCGGGTCCCTCTCCCAATCCTCTACGCACCTCCTCACCGCAGCGTCACCGTGCGCCCTCACGATCTCGTTTAATTTCCCGGCGCACCACCGGAGGTCACGTGACGCCACGTCCCCGGCGCTTGCGTGCGCGTGGATTCCCTGTATGGCGTTGCCGAAGTAATACGGGTCCAGCTTTGGCTCCACCCGGTGCCGGCAGTTCACCGCCATAAGGAACGTCGTTGTTTTGGAAGGCGGGAATTTCCTAGCGCGCGTGATTGCACGCCACACCAACGCGCACAGCGACTGGAACGACGACATCGCGTTCGCGGGGTCAACGTCCCCGTTGACTTCCAATTTTAACCGCGAAATCGATTCCCCTGTGAAGCTGAATATCCTCTCCCTCACCGGAGCATCAACGTCGTAGGCGACCTTGGGACCCCCGTCGGGGAGTTTCAGCACCGCCGGCGAGCAAAAAACAGAGCTCCGGCTTAATTCAGGCCTCCGCGCGATCCTCTCCACTCCTCTGGCGACCTCCGCGAATGCGTTGAAAAAATTCCAAAGGGAGGTGCCGTCTATGACGGCATGATTGACGGAGAGCCCGACGAAGACCCCGTCGGCGAGCTCCGTCACCTGAACGGCGAGGAGAGGCATGAAATGGCCCCGGTAGCTGACCGTCAGGTCAAACGCGAAGAATTCTTTGACCACCTCCGGGACATCGTCACCGGGGGAGCCAAGGACGTCTCCGACCGAAACGCCGGCGGCGACGGCGTGGACGAAGTGGGCTCCGGCGTCGTTGCATGTGACGTAAATGTGTCCGTTTGAGTCGGTGACGAGCCGGCCGGCGAGGGGTGGGAAGTGGGTCAAAGTCTTGGAAAGGGAGGACTCGAGCAAGGAGACGAAATGGGGGAAATGGGGGAGAGTGTCGTAGAGGCAGCCCTTTTGAATGTAATGAGTGGAGAGCATTGGGAGATCGAAGACGGAAAGCTTCATGTCGGAGGATGAAGATTTTCCCGCGGGGATAACCGTGGTGTGGTAGAGTAGAGCAGTAGCAGGTGCCATGACGGGAGATGGATGAGATATGTTTTTTCTTCTGTTGTTTAGATGAAGAGTTTTTGTTCTTTTGTAAGCTGTGAGTTTACTTGGCGTGGGAGACTAGAGATGGAAAGACGAGGTATATATAGAGTAGAGGGGGAATAACAGGGAGGGGTATAATCTAGAGAAATTTACCTAGCACTTTCTCAATGTAGGACTATACATTTTTATTTCCTATAATATACGGAGTATGAAATAAATGTACTAAATAGCACTAAAACTTAAGTCATTTCCCTAAATAGTACTTAAATTGTTTTATTTCTTAAATAACACTTAATAATGTCTAATGATGATGAATATTTAATTGAATAATATAATGACTAATGCATAATGACTAGGGCTGTGCATTATTCAGTCCAAACACGGATTGACCCGAAGACCGGCCAAAACCGGACTAGACCGGTCCTAATTCGGTCCAGTCTCTGGTCCATCAATTTCCGTTATCCGGGTTCTGGTCCGGTCCGGTCCAAACCTGGTGAGACCGGTGGACCGGTTATATCATTAATATGGGTTTATATTTTACTTAAATTATTTAGTATATGGGCTTGGGCTTAATTTATCATACACGTACAATAATGTCAATACCCAATTATCCATTGCCCCAAATAATCCACGTTAGTCCAGTAGCAAATCCACTTATCCACAGACGGTTTCACGGTTCTCACTTCTCACTTCTCAATTTGCCATCGCCAAAGAAAACTCAAAGGACACGCCTAATTCTCCGACAAATCCCAGGTACGCATGCAGTCTCAACTCTCCGACAAATCCCAGGTTCCCAACTCGCCGATTCTTGCTAAAATGTCATATGGTTAAGTAATTTGGAATTTTGTCATGATTAATTAAATCCCCATTGCAAATCTTCAAAGTTTCAATTAAATGGGATATTCCCCCTTATTCGGTCCTTATTCGGGCCAGTCTGGACCGGTCCAGTTTTTTTCGGTCCGGTCTCGGTCTGGTCTTACACTCTATCGGTTCGGTCTACGGTCCATTACTTTGCTCTTATTCAGTCCCGGTCCCGTCTTGGTCGGTCCGGGTTTGGATCGATGCACAGCCCTAATAATGAGTAAAAATGCTACATTGGGAAGAAAAACACATGTGATGCTATTTAGGGAAAGTCATTACGTTTTAGTGCTATTTAAGTAAATTTCTCGTAATGTATAGAGATGACAATATTTTGTTTCGAACTCATTCCGAACTGTTTTAATATTGAACAGGAGTGGATTTATTTTATCATTCTGTCTCGTTGTCCCGTATAAATGTATACATCGATATAACACAAAAAAATATCACAATTTTTGTTTTGGATAACTACCTGGATATGAGTAAATAACTATGAAAATATCAAAATAGAAGTCATAAGTATTTTAATACCAAAATAGGAGTTTACACTTTCAATGTTACAATGCAACACTTACCACATTATCACAATGTAATAGTGGCACTATCACCGCCACATTGTCATCCGTCTCCGCACACTCACACATTACAATGCATGTCATCGTTTTTCTATCAAAAATCTTACACCACACTACCATTATATTCATTACTTGATACTACTATGTATGATTTAATAATGGATTCCCTTTCAAAAATATTTTGAAATATCTTTTAAAAAATTAACTTAGACAAACACTTTCATTTTTAAATATTTAACTTCAATGAATACCAACCACAAAATAACAAACTTAAAAACAACGTAACAATGAGTTTAAAACAAGGTTAAAATGGGTGTGATTTGATTTAAATAACTAAATGGATTCAAACTTGTATATTTATTACTCCCTCCGTCCCATGAAACATTTCCTGTTTCAAAAATGGCGCGCCTTTAAAATGAGTAATTTTGGTATTATTTTCTAATTTTGTCTGTACTTTATAAAAGAGTAGGATGAGATGTGTAGAATAGATTAATCATAATTAGAAAATAGCACCAAAATTACTCATTTTAAAGGCGCGCCATTTTTTGAACCGAGAAATGTTTCATGGGACGGAGGGAGTAGTTGGGAACGGTAATATTACCGTTAGATGGAAAGTAATCTCGTAGTCCAATATGAACGGCAAAGCAATAGACTAGTTTGTTGATTGAATTTGGTACCAAAAGGTAAGGTGTAGTGTTACCCTCTTTGCTAAAATGACACATAAACTTATTTTGGTACCAAATTAGTTTTAATCTAGATCCTAGAGGAATTTATTTAAATAAGATTAAAATATAATGACCATTTGTTATTATCCATTAGTAATTATATTATTCAAGTAAATGACCACCATCACTGCACATTATTCGTCTCACTAGACATTATTAAGCATATTATTTAAGAAATAAAAAAATTTAAATCCTATATTGAAAATTAACTTTTATTTTAGTTCTATTTAGTACAAATTTCACTTTAAAATCTATTCAGACTGGGCGGCCTAATTAAAGGGGGCGAGTTAAACGCGATATACATGGGTGAAGGGGGGAATTAATAAGGGCTAAACCCTAGACGATATAAATCGGAGTATTGACAAATTCTATCCCCATCCATCCAATAATCTCATCAGATCAATCAAATATGGCTCAATCACATCCAACATCACCTTCTTCCTCCTCCACCTCCATTATTATCATTATTATGCCTCCGACGGTACGTAATAGTAATAGCTATACTTATTACACATTAATCACTCTTTATGCTTAATACTTCTTCATTAGCAATTGGGATTACGGTCGTCATATGATATGAAAGCTCCCTTAAACCTTTATTTTTTTGGGTCTATCTATAATTAATTAATACTATTATTATTATGACATACAGGATCCATCAATTAGTAATAACGATGAATCCAATAAATCTTTTTGCACATCTCCCATCTCCCCGTCGCGGAATCCAAGGGACAAAAACGGTAATCACTTCTTGTTTCTTACTTAATTATACGGATTTTTCTCTCTTCTCATGGGTTCCTCAATACTATTTATAATTTTCTCTTTTTAATGTTCATATGCCCCCAACAAAAATTAATGTGATCTCATTTAATCAAGCTAAATTAATTTTTTTTATTAATTTTCTTAATAAAGTGTATTTTATTACACATAATTAATTGTTTATGAAATAATTTATACATGGACGGAGTTGGAAGCGTGAAACACCAAAAAAAAATTTCATAATTTATAGAGGATATGGGTGTGGGGACATCCCATATAATCTTTGGCCTGTTTTTTTGTTCATCTGTTTTGATAAAATCATAACTAAAGATAAAAAAACCAAAGTATGACTAAAACATTGAAAATATACTAAAATAGGACTTCTGTGTTTTTATTCCCAAAATAGGATTTACATTACCATACATGATCATATACATTACCAAAAAAGTATAGTAATTATTACATGTACAGCCACATTACAACAGGGCAAAGTTCTACGGAGTATTTCGAAAAAAATAGGAAAATCCTATTTTTGTATTTTTCTCTATGTTTTAGTCATATTTAGAGTGATTTCTATTTACAAAAATATCCATAGCATTATACTTCTGCCATCCTAAAACATTCTTACCAGTTATTAATCACATAGTCAAACTTTAATCACTTTCTTTAACTCTTTTCTTTAATTAGTTGATAAAATAATACTCCCTCCATTCCATAAAATCCTTCATGTTTCTGTTTTTTTTTTCAATTTCTTAAAACACTTTCACTTTATATTAAAAAACAACTTTTACCCCTACTTTTTCATACCCTATCTATCAGATCATACTTTTTTCACTACCAAACTATGACATTTTATATTTATCCATCGCATCAGGGGCAAAATTGAAAAGTCAACCAAAATTAAACTTTCCTTATTTTGGCTCAAAGTCAAAATAGGAATGGTTTTAAGGAACGGAGGAAGTATATTTTTGTCACATTTAGTTTTGTAGAATTTTTTATGTAATTTTTAAATATATAAATTTTATTTTTTAATTTTACACTTATAATCAAATAAATTAAATTGAAAATAAAATAAATCAAACCTCATAAATAGAAACATAAAATGTTTTAGGACGCAGGGAGTAATTGTTTCCAAATGAATTGTCGCTCATTATAAAAAATATTGTAATAAGCATGGTAATTTTTTTTCCCGATATCGACCAATCAATTAATGCTTTAACATTCACATGGTAGTTTTGACCAATTATAAAAACTAAAATACGGAGTAGTAGGTAAACATGGTTATAAGTTAAAATTACTCATCAACATCGACCTAGTGTCTCTTCTCTTCTCTTGAAATTTTAAAGTTAGATATTTCACGTAATATGTTATAAATTTAGATATATAATGTAAATGTATACTCATCATATATATAAGAGCACTGGTAATACGTTTGAAGCCCCCGGGCTTCAAACCGGGGCTTCAAACTTTCTCTCTCTGCCACGTCAGCTTTAACTTACACCCAAAATTCACTGGAAATGGGTTTGAAGCCCCGGGGCTTCAAACTGGGGCTTCAAACCTTCATTTTTTACATTTTTAAATATACATCTTCTAAAATTAAATTAATAAAATGTAATTAATTTATTATTTAATTAAATTGAAACACGAATAATAAAAAAACACATTAATTAAATAAAAAAGCGACAATAATTTAAAAAAAAAGATAGATTAATAAAAAAACTAAGGTAAATTATATTTCTCCTTGATCTCTCTCATTCTTTGCTCGTAGATAATTCGTCCAAACTCCGACAATGTCCCGAGGTCGGTTTGCATGACTTTCATCTCGGCCTCCTGCTCCTTTAGCTTCAACTCCTTCTCTTTAAGCTTCAACCTCTCTTGTTCTTGGAGATTGAACGTCCGAAGTTGTTCAATCATTGCCCGGCCGATTTCGTCGCGGGGAGAAGCAGAAATAGAGGCGGACCCTCCCGAACCAGAGGCAATAGATTTTGCCTTCTTTCTTCCGATTGGTCGTGGAATGGGGTCCTCGTCATCGGAAGCCACAACGTTGAAGGAAGGGATTTGATCGGTAGAACCGATGGTCTCGTCGACCTCAACCTCGGCGTCGACGGTGGATCTTTTCCGGAATGATCCGCCGTCGGGATTGTTGAGTTGTTGCCACTTCGGGGAAGGACTCAAAATCCCCCAAAGATCGATGGGCACCTTGCCTTGGTACCCGTTGTCTTGATACCGGGTCGTGGCAAGCCGGAGAACATCGGCGTTGTTCATGCCGCTCCTCCGGGACCGGGAGCATTCCTCGTATACTCCCATAAACTTTCGTACTTTTTTGTTGATGTGGCTCCATTTGGAAGTGAGTTGGTCCCGGGTTTGGTAGGAGCCGTCCTTGTTCATCGCCGTGAAGAACTTCTCCTCGATACGATCCCACATCGCATCCTTCGTTTGCTCCGTACCTTTAAAAATGTATTACACAATTTGTTTAGACATCATTAAATATAATATATATAAATAAAAACATAAATATATTAGAAAAAATAAATTTTTTACCAATGATAGGATGCTCGGAGACGTCAACCCAAGCCGACGCCAATATGCACTCCTCCTCCGGCGTCCACTTTTGGATTGACCGTGCCGCCTCGGTGAACGTGCTTTTGGCTTTGTGGCTCCTCCGGCGTGTACTTTTTTTCGATCCGGACGGTTCCGGTTGAGTCTCCGGAACCGAATCTCGGTCGACGTACCCCGATTGTTGCGTCTCGTATATCGGTGGTCGATCGCCCCACTCTTGGTAGAACCACATCGCGGCGTCACTCGGCGGGAGATCGTCGGGAACGAAGCCGGTGCCGGAAGGATTCATGTTGAATAGAAAGAGGGTAATTTTGAATTTTAAAATGGGAAGAAAAAGAGATTGAGAAGAGAAAGTGTGAGAGATTGGGAGGGGGGGTTTGAATTTATAAGATTTTTTTTTTTTTAAAAAAAAATGGGATAAACGGCTATAAAGCCGTTGGGAAGGGGAGGGGTTTCGAATGACGCCGCGTCATTCGTTTGACGCAAGGGCGATCACACCTGGAGGGGGGCGGTGTTTCACGCCGGCGGGGCGTTAAACGCCCCCTCTGTTACGGGTTCACAATCTGCCGCGGGGCCATGCGGGACGATTAACGAAGGGAGGCGTCAAAGTGCGAGAGTTCGGCGTGCACCGGCATGGCAACAAGAATTTGACCTCACTTGAATTGTTCTTTGTACTCTATTATTATTATAATTGTATTTAGATTTTATTAGGCGAGCGAAACTATAAGCTCCTTCGAGGGTTTCTTTACGGTTCTTTACCTCGTCGCTTTTTCTTGAACCGTCAGGATAGACAACATAGTTATTAGGTTGGGGTATCTCTACTATAAATAGAGATGTTAATCATTATCAATGGCATGCATAATTAAACCCCAAAACTTCTCTTCTACCTTGCCGTTGTGGCCTTCCCCTTTCCCCTTCCCTCTCTGCCGTTTTTTTTCTCTCTCTCTAGCCTATTGTTCTTCCTTCCCCACACGGTGGTGGTCTTGCCGGAGCCAGGAGTCGCTCGAAGATCTCCGTTCGAGGGTATTGTGTACTTATCGCTGGTGCTTTCATTGAGTCCTCATGACGTCCAACGTGGGGAGCACGGATGTTTTCCGGGAATTCCAATCCCAAATTGACGGCCAGATCCAATCTCATACGGCCGCCATGCAACAGTTAAATCAAGCCATGCAGCAGCTTCAACGGGATTTGAAGACGTTGTTGAAGGAGAAGCAGCCGTACGAAGGGCCACATCCACGTCGGGATACGCCTGATGGCTTTGTCGGGCCGGCTAACTCCATGACAAAGCTCAAGCTTGATATGCCCAAGTGCGACGGGACGGACCCTTTGGGTTGGTTATTCAAGGTCCATGAATATTTCGTTTTTTATGCAGTTCCGGAGGAATCCCGCTTGTCGGCAGTCTGCTTGATGTTGGAAGGGCAGGCGTTGGACTGGTTTCGATGGCGACAACGGAACAACTTGCTTTCATCGTGGACGGAGTTTGTTACGTCTTTCAAGTTACGATTTGATCCCTTGAATTATGTGGACTATTTCGGCTTACTATCTAAGGTTCGCCAAACGGGGACCGTACTTGAATATCAACAGGCTTTTGAGAAGATTTTGGTGAATGTGACGGGGGTCGAAGAATCCAATTTACAGTCTCTTTTTCATGCCGGACTGAAGACGCATCTGCAACACGAATTGATGCTCCTCAAACCCTCGTCCTTATCAGAGTCTTTTGCCCTCGCTCGAGAACTGGAGACCAAGCATGCCGCTTGGGCTACATCTCTCGGGTCACGTCCTCGGCCGACATTGGGGCCTTTCAACAAGACCCCTGCGCAGCCACTGCTGCTGTTGCCAGGAGCGCAGCAGCCGGAGGATAAAACAGCCACCACCCCGCCGATTCGGCGGCTCACATATGCCGAAAAAAAGGACCGTGACGCGAAAGGCCTTTGCTATAATTGTGATGAAAAGTGGTCTAAGGGTCATCGGTGTGGTCGTTTCTTATTGTTGCTTGAGGACGATGAGGAGGATCTCTCGCCAGGGGCTGTGGATGAAACTTTACTTATGGCCGACGTTTCAACTCTGAACAGTATGGCTGGTGTCACGGCACCACGTTCGTTGCGTTTATCTGGAATGATTGCGGGTGGCGTCGTCGATGTCCTTATTGATGGCGGGAGCACCCACAATTTTGTCCACCCGCGGGTGGTGGAGCGCTTGCAATTGCCGGTCGTCAATGTGGCCGCTTTTCGCGTTTATGTGGGAAATGGTGCTTCTCTTTTATGTGATGCACAGTGTAGAGATGTTGAATTACTTTTGCAGGGGGTTTCCTTCTCTGTTGATGTTTTCGTCCTTCCTATCCATGGGCCGGACGTGGTTTTGGGCGTTCAATGGTTGCGGTTGTTGGGGAAAGTCACGCACGATTATGCCAACTTGACTATGGATTTTTGTTGGAAAGGATCTCCGGTGACGTTACAAGGGGGAGCACCGGAGGTCAAACAGGTTTCTTTACACCACTGCCAACTGTTGCACACGGACTGTTCTGTGTCGGCTTGCTTTGAACTTTTTCTCGTCGAGGCATCTACGGAAGGGACGGCTGATCAGGAACCTTGGCCAGAGGGGCTGCCCGCGGACATCCTTATTGTCCTGCGGCGTTTTCCAGCGGCCTTTGAGGAGCCAGCAGGCCTGCCGCCCCGCCGTTTAAGCGATCATCGCATATTCCTCCAACCCGAGTCCAAGCCAGTCTCAGTTCGTCCGTATCGGTACCCTCAATTTCAAAAAGCCGAAATTGAGCGTCTCGTTCGGGAAATGCTTGATCAAGGATTGATACAGCCTAGTAGGAGTCCCTTCTCGTCTCCGGTCCTACTGGTTAAAAAAAGACGGCACATACAGATTTTGTGTTGATTATCGTGCATTAAACGCGGTGACAGTACCTGACCATTTTCCTATTCCAACCGTGGACGAATTGTTTGATGAATTGGGCTCCGCCAGATTCTTTACGAAGCTTGATCTCCGCTCGGGGTATCATCAGATTCGCATGCATGATCGCGACATCTATAAAACGGCTTTTCGTACTCATGAAGGCCACTATGAGTTTCGAGTGATGCCATTTGGTCTCACGAATGCCCCCTCCACTTTCCAGGCGTGTATGAATCAGTTGTTCGCCCCGTTTTTACGGAAGTTTGTTATTGTTTTTTTGATGATATTTTGATATACAGTTTGTCGTTGGAGGGTCATGGTCGCCACCTCGAGGTGGCCTTGGGGTTGCTTTGTTCGCACCACTTTTTTCTCAAGCCGTCCAAATGTTCATTTTGTACTTCATCAATTGATTATTTGGGGCATGTTATTAGTGATGGGCATCTTCACGTGGATAGGGCAAAAATCGAAGCTATGTTGGATTGGCCGATTCCCAAAACCATCAAACAGCTTCGGGGGTTCTTGGGTTTAACCGGCTACTACCGTCGGTTTATTAAAAATCATGCCCACATTTCTGCGCCACTGACTGATCTTTTGAAGAAAGATTCCTTTTATTGGTCCGATGCTGCGACACAAGCCTTTGAGTTCCTCAAGCAGGCCTTGGCGGCAGCCCCGGTGCTGCGATTGCCGGATTTTTCCTTATTATTTGTGGTCGACACTGATGCATCGGCCTCCGGTATTGGTGCGGTTCTTCTACAGGAAGAGCAGCCCGTCGCTTACTTTAGTAAGAAATTGGGTCCTCGGCGTTTGGCGGCATCCACATATCATAAGGAACTTTACGCCATAGTTGAAGCCGTCCAAAAATGGAGACAGTATCTTTTGGGGCGTGAATTTTTGATTCGAACGGATCAGCGTAGTTTGAGAGAACTGTTGCAGCAAGTCATTCAAACCCCGGATCAACAGTTTTATATTCGTAAACTCATGGGGTATCGTTTTCGCATCGAATACAAACCAGGCCGGACTAACGTGGTGGCAGACGCGTTATCGCGGCAGCACCTAGAGCAGGGCACCTCGGCTGAGGTTTCAACAGTTGGGGCAGCTCAGATTTTTAATTTTTCACAACCACTGCCGGAAATTCTCGCTCGCATTCGTGCAGAAAATGAAACGGAGCCGGATCTGGTGCGCTTGCATGAACTCCATCGGCAAGGATCCCTGCCAGCCCCCTTCTCGGTTATGGATGGTATTCTTTTTTATCGAACCCGGATGTGTGTGGGTGCGGCGTCCTCCCTACGTATGGAACTTTTACGGGAGTACCATGATTCGCCTATTGCTGGTCATACGGGTGTTCATCGTACCTTCACTCGCCTGGCCGCGACTTTTTATTGGCCTTCAATGCGTAAGGATGTTCGCTCTTATGTAGGCCGTTGCGAGATATGTCAAAAGGCTAAGTCCCCCACATTATCGCCGGCGGGTCTCCTTCAACCGCTGCCGGTGCCGCAGCGCGTTTGGGAGGACATAAGCATGGATTTTGTGACTGGACTCCCCGTATCCCGTGGGTTCTCTGTGATTTTGGTCGTTGTTGATAGATTAACAAAATATACTCATTTGGGTGCGTTACCGGCTGCTTACGATGCCCATCGGACGGCCTTCTTATTTACGGACATCGTGGTGAAGTTGCATGGCATTCCTCGCACAATTGTTTCCGATCGGGATAAGGTTTTTATTAGCACCTTTTGGCGTGAATTGCATAATCTCAGCGGCACCACCTTGAAGCATAGTATTGCCTTTCATCCCCAAACGGATGGTCAGACGGAGGTTATGAATCGTACTTTGGAGCAGTATCTTCGGTCCTTCACGCATGCGCGGCCGAAACGTTGGACAGTCCTTTTGCCCTGGGCCGAGTATTCCATGAACACGAGTTATCACTCGGCATTACGCATGACGCCTTTTCAGGCACTTTATGGACGTCCACCTCCTGACTTGGTGCCTTATCGACCGGGGTCCAGCCGCGCACCAGCTGTTGATGACATCCTCGCCGAGCGTGATACCCTCCTGCGGGAATTGCGTCGTAACCTTTTGCAAGCCCAACATCGCATGAAGCAGTTGGCCGATGCCAAACGCAGGGACCTAGAGTTTCGGGTTGGGGATTTGGTTTTGTTGCGTCTTCAACCTTATCGGCAACACTCGGTGGTTCGGAGTTCGTCCCAAAAGTTGGCTTTGAAGTTTTATGGGCCCTATGAGATTTTGGAGAGGATCGGGCCAGTGGCTTATCGTTTAAAACTGCCGGACGGGGCACAAATTCATCCAGTTTTTCATGTTTCTGTTTTGCGTCCGTTTCGTGGCCCCATGCTATCCGTTAAGCCATTGCCTCTACCGGATATTTTTGTAGATGGTAGACCTTCTTCTACGGCAGTTGCCATCCATGCAGTGCGCACAGTGCTTCGGAATGGGTCACCTGAGGAACAATATTTAGTAAGTTGGAGTGATGGTACGCTTGATGACGCGACATGGGAGCCCGCCTCGAGTATTCGCCAACACTTTCCGCAGCTTCACCTTGAGGACAAGGTGCTTCTTGAAGGGCGGGGGAGTGTTACGGGTTCACAATCTGCCGCGGGGCCATGCGGGACGATTAACGAAGGGAGGCGTCAAAGTACGAGAGTTCGGCGTGCACCGGCATGGAAAAAAGAATTTGACCTCACTTGAATTGTTCTTTGTACTCTATTATTATTATAATTGTATTTAGATTTTATTAGGCGAGCGAAACTATAAGCTCCTTCGAGGGTTTCTTTACGGTTCTTACCTCGTTGCTTTTTCTTGAACCGTCAGGATAGACAACATAGTTATTAGGTTGGGGTATCTCTACTATAAATAGAGATGTTAATCATTATCAATGGCATGCATAATTAAACCCCAAAACTTCTCTTCTACCTTGCCGTTGTGGCCTTCCCCTTTCCCCTTCCCTCTCTGCCGTTTTTTTTCTCTCTCTCTAGCCTATTGTTCTTCCTTCCCCACACGGTGGTGGTCTTGCCGGAGCCAGGAGTCGCTCGAAGATCTCCGTTCGAGGGTACTGTGTACTTATCACCCTCATGCCGTGGGGCGTTGCTGGTATTACCAGTGCTCTAAATACATGTTTAATGACATTGAAGAAGATTGAAAAAGCCGAAAGGTATTGAAAGAAACTGTAATTAAAATGTTGAGAGAAGTTAACTTTTCAAAAACTAAAAGCTAGTTTTGACCAGTTATAAAGTCTAAAATGGTAGGCTAAAATCACTTATTAACATGTAGGGTCTCTTTTTATTTGGTTGAAATTTTAAAATTATAGGGTTGAAGTGATATGTTATAAATTTAGATATATGATGCTATTATATGCTCATCATATATAAATACATATGTTTTAAGACATTGGGAGAAGATTGAAAAAACTAAAAGGTATTGAAAGAACTCTAATTAAAATGATAGAAAAAGTTACTGAGTAGAAGTTAACTTTTCAAAACTCAAATGTACATGTCCTAAGGGACTAAATATATCTCAAGATAGAGTACTAGACATTGTTGTTGTCACTCCGACATTATTGGATTAACTTTTATGAGTGTTTTTGCATGCATGCAATGCAAGCAGAGATTGCTGATGAGATGTGCTCAATTGGGTTTCTCGTGATGTGTGGTTTGGAATTTTTTATGTTCGGTGCTATTGTTGGAACGGGCATCCTCCTAGGGTTATGCAGCATATTCGTCTTTTGCAAGCTTTTTGCCATCATACCTTGCCTCCCTCGACCAGATTCTAAAAAAAAGTACAGACTGATGGGAGGGAAAACGAGATGCATTGCCGAAATTATCCCGGTGGGACTTGCAATGGCACTAGGCTATGTGTTGCCATATCATATGGAATGTCTCGGTCTATTGTGTTGTTGGAGCATGGAATGCTTCTTAGTTTGTCGATTATGGTTGGGTTTCTGTAACCTCGACGTTTGGGAACCTTGTGCCACAACACCTATGCAATTTTTAACCTACTGGCTGGGCTCGAATATGATCATCACTAATCATCCACTCATCTTCTCTGTCATGTCATTTGGCTTTTGGGTCGCACTATCTATTTACCGTGCTCATGGTGTTTCCTGTTGATCAAACACAAGAAGAACCCATCGGACAACAAGAAGTTGAGTTTGAGAAGGGTAATCACATCAATTCTCCACAACTCCCACAAAATTGAGAGAAGTATTGTGTTGTGTTACCTGATTATTGAGCTCCAAACCAATTGAATTTAAAACCCCACTGTATGTACCTCCATCTTTTATTAAATGGTGGAGAACTAGCTATATATTTGGGAATGGTGAACTTGTTTTACATTTATATTCCGTGGTATCCATGTATCTCTAAAACTCATTATATATCTTTCATCTTAAAAATTCTTTTTCCCACTTTTTATTAAAAACTTTTGGAGTACTTTAACTTCACTTCTACTAATTATTGGTGTATCTATCACATCATATTTACTCACTATATATGGATATATCAATTACACGGTACCTTTGTACGTCTATCTCTTTCAAAACATTTTAAAAAAATCAACATCAAAATAAAGTTTTTTAGAGTTAAAGGAACACAGTACATTCTAACACGTTGCTTCACATCAAAATAAACTTTTTCATAGTTAAAGGAACACAATACATTCTAACACGCTGCTTCACATTTTTTGAACATTAAAATAAACTTTTTTATAGTTAAGGAACACAGTACATTCTAATAACACGCTGCTTCACATGGGTTTGATTTTATTTAAATAATTTAATGGATTGAAACTTGTATTTATTAGTTGGGAATGGTAATATTACCGTTAGATGAAAAGTAATCTCGCCCAATATGATCGGCAGAACAATAGACTAGTTTACTGATTGAAATTGGTACCAAAAGGTAAGGTGTAGTGTTACACTCTTTCCTAAAATGACACATCAACTTATTTTGGTACCAAATTAGTTTTAATCTAGAGAAATTTATCTAAATAAGATTAAAACATAATGACTTTCTGAATATATGATCATATGTTTTTATTTCCCAATGTAAGACGATTGGTCATTATTCATTAGTCATTATCTAAGTAAATGTCCACCATTACTTGACATTACTCGTCTTACTAGACATTATTAAGTACTCCCTCCGTCCCAAAAAGAACGTTACGTTTCATTTTTTGCGCATCCCTTAAAACACTTTTATATCGTCTCAAATGCAAAAAAAACTTTCAAAACAATTTTATCTTATAATAAAGAGTAAATATGGTAAATTTTAGAATTTTTAGATGTGAGTAGCAGTGCTTTTTGTGATGCGCAAAAAATGAAATGTAACATTCTTTTTAAGAGGGAGTACGTAGTATTATTTACTTATATAATACGGAGTAAAAAAGTTTCAATTCTACATTAAAAAATAACTTTTGTTTCACTTTAAAATAATAAAATCTATTCAGACTGGGCGGCCTAATTAAAGGGGGCGAGTTAAACGCGATATACATGGGTGAAGGGGGGAATTAATAAGGGCTAAACCCTAGACGATATAAATCGGAGTATTGACAAATTCTATCCCCATCCATCCAATGATCTCATCAGATCAATCAAATATGGCTCAATCACATCCAACATCACCTTCTTCCTCCTCCACCTCCATTATTATCATTATTATACCTCCGATGGTACGTAATAGTAATAGCTATACTTATTACACATTAATCACTCTTTATGCTTAATACTTCTTCATTAGCAATTGGGATTACGGTCGTCATATGATATGAAAGCTCCCTTAAACCTTTATTTTTTTGGGTGTATCTATAATTAATTAATACTATTATTATTATGACATACAGGATCCATCAATTAGTAATAACGATGAATCTAATAAATCTTTTTGCACATCTCCCATCTCCCCGTCGCGGAATCCAAGGGACAAAAACGGTAATCACTTCTTGTTTCTTACTTAATTATACGGATTTTTCTCTCTTCTCATGGGTTCCTCAATACTATTTATAATTTTCTTTTTTAATCTAAAGAATATAGAATCTGATTATAGATCAAAAACATACCCCCTTCAATCTTAACCCGAGTTACATTGCACCGAGACGAGGACACAGACTTATACATGGACGGAGTTGGAAGTGTGAAACACCAAAAAAATTTCATACTCCCTCCGTCACATGAAACATTTTCCGTTTCAAAAAATGACGCGCCTTTAAAATGAGCAATTTTGGTGCTATTTTCTAATTATGATTAATCTATTCTACACATCTCATCCTACTCTTTTATAAAGTAAAGACAAAATTAGAAAATAATACCAAAATTACTCATTTTAAAGGCGCGCCATTTTTGAAACGGGTGATGTTTCATGGGACGGAGGGAGTAATTTATAAAGGATTTGGGTGTGGGGACATCCCATATAACTTAAGCGTGCTTTTTTTTTGTTCATCTGTTTTGATAAAAACATTTAGAAATATACTTCTTCCGTCCCCACACCTAAATCCATTTTATCTTATACTCCCTCCGTCCTAAAACTTTCTTCTCGGTTCGCAAAACGAAGAAAAATCCCAATTTTTTTTAATCTATTTTATTTAAATATTGGTATAGAAATAGAAAATAAAAGATACATATTTAAAAACTACATCAAAAGTTCAACAAAACAAGTGGTGACAAGAATATTTTATTTTATCATATAGGCCATTAAAATATACAAATAAATATAAATTCCCGTGAAGTTGGAATAGTGCACTGGGAAGAAAGTTTTAGGACGGAGGGAGTAATTTATATATTAAAAAATTATAAAAATTATACTCGGGTATATTAATAATCTATATGTTAAGACAAATCAAACAAGATCATACATGACTATATTTAAGCTTACACGTTGAGAGAATTTGATTCGTCAAAGTGCTTAGATAAACAGTTCCAAAAGTCAAATATGGACAAATACAGGGGGACGGAGGGAGTATTAAATTATAATATTTAATGATTATTCTATTATATGAATTAACTAATTTTGTTTTATTAAAAATAATCATAAAATAAAAAATATTGATTATATTATAAAATTAATTATCATTTCAATTTTCAAACGTTATTATAATGTCAAATCAAATTTTTGATTTGAATTTTAAATCAAATCATAATTAATCAGATCAGACAAGATCAAAACCAATTAGATCAGATCAGATCCAATCAGCTCAGATCCATTCAGATCAAATCAGATAAGATTCAATCAGATCAGATCAGAATTACAAAAAATCAGATCAGATTAAAAAAAATAAGTTGAACGAAATGGAGCCTAAGTCACTAAATATATCTCAAGATAGAGTACTAGACATTGTTGTTGTCACTCCGACATTATTGGATTAACTTTTATGAGTGTTTTTGCATGCATGCAATGCAAGCAGAGAGTGCTGATGAGATGTGCTCAATTGGGTTTGTCGGGATCTGTTGTTTGGAATTTCCTATGCTCGTTGCTGTTGTTGGAAAGGGCATCCTCCTAGCGTTATGCAGCATAGTCGTCTTTTGCAAGCTTTTTGCCATCATACCTTTCCTCCCTCGACCAAATTTTAAAAAAAAGTACAGATTTATGGGGGGGAAAGCGAAATGCATAGCCAATATTATCCCGGTGGGACTTGCAATGGCACTGGGCTATGTGTTGCCAGATCATATGGAATGTCTTGGCATATTGTGGGGTTGGAGCATGGAATGCTTCTGCGTTTCTCGATTATGGTTGGGTTTCTGTAACCTCGAGGCTTGGGAAATTTATGTCACAACACTTATGATCATCTTCTCTGTCATGTCATTTAGCTTTTGGGTCGCACTATCTATTTACTGTGCTCATGGTGTTTCTGTTGATCAAACACAAGAAGAACCCATCAGACAACAAGAAGTAGAGCTTGAGAAGGGTAATCACATCAATTCTCCACAACTCCCACAAAATTGAGAGAAGTATTGTGTTGTGTTACCTGATTATATGTACCTCCATCTTTTATTAAATGATGGAGAAATAGCGATATATTGGGGGAATGGTGAACTTGTTTTAAATTTATACGGAGTATTTCGTAGTACTCATGTATCTCTAAAACTCATTATCTTTCATCTTAAAAATTCTTTTTCCCACTTTTTATTAAAAACTTTTGGAGTACTTTAAATTCACTTCTACTAATTATTGGTGTTTATTGGGAAAATCACCTCAAATTTTTTAGCGGAAGCAATTAATATTTTTCCCGTATTTGTGTTGTCAAAATGGGCAAAATCATATGACCGATCAAGAATAGCAAACACAACAACAATCAATCTATCAAACGATAAATGAACACCAAGATTTAACGTGGAAACTATCCCAAATCGGAGAGAAAACCACGAAGCCTTCCACTAATCACCAAGAAAAAATAGTGGGTACACCAAGAATCCTCTCTAAATCAATTAGAGGTACACACAATCATCAAGCAACAACTTGGAACACCAAACAATCAGGGGCGGAGGAGAGGGGGGGGGCTGTCAGGGCATGTGCCCCCGGCGAACTGCCGATCAAGAGGTATAATGTATAGTGTCGGCGATAGGCTTCTTTGACCGGCAATGGCGTGCCTCCCCGCCTGCGGTGCAACAGATCTGATTTTCTTCTACGACCCAAAAGCTTTTTTCCTTAGAAAACGATGCCGTTTTCAAATCTTTTTTAATAAGGAGCCTACGCCCGATAATTTTGCGCTAGGAACCTTGGTTTAAATAGCTGTTAATTGTTATTCCGTATATACCATAAATACCAAAATGTGTGGAGGAGAATTCAAATACTCCCTCCGTTCCCAATTTGATTATAAATTTCGGTTTACGAAATAAAATTTTCTACTTTTTGAAATTATTTTATTTACAAATTGGTATATCAATAAAATATAAAAATTACATATTAAAAAGAGTAAATTCTACAATTGGTCCTTTATAACAGGGGTTTCCTTATTTAGTCCTCTATTATAAAATATTACCCAAGTGGTCCTTCTTTTATGGGTACCTTTCCACAAATAGTCCTTTTTTTGATCTTCTATCATGTTGGTGTTAATTTGAGGGCTAAAAGTGTAATTTCACAATGATAATATATCTTTTTTGTCATACACAATTCCAAAGGCTGTTCCGTTTGCGTCGTTTGTGAATTACAGTCGCTTTTTTTGACAACTATAGTCTACAAATGTGATCTTTCGTCAGAATCCTAGCCCACAATCATAGTCATTATTTTTGTGTTATCCGCTTAACCAATATCAGAACACGTCACTAGACATAATGTTGACGTCAAATTATACTTTTAGCTTTTAAATTAACACCAACACGCCAGAAGATCAAAAAAGGACCATTTGTGGAAAGGTACCCTTAAAAAAAGGACTACGGGGGTAATATTTGATAATAAAGGACTAAATATGGAAACCCCCTGTTATAAAGGACCAATTATGGAATTTACTCTATTAAAAAACTACGTAAAAAGTTCTACAAAACAAGAGGTCTCAAGAAAATTTTATTTTATTAAATACTTAATGAAATCGTGTAAACAAACAAAAGTTATCAAGAGGAGAGAGAAAAAAAATTGTAATCAAATTATAATGCCTGTTCACTATTCACAGGGTCAAACTTCATCCACTTTCTTTCTCTATTTTTGTTAGCAATTTGATAAAATAAAGTATTATTGTCACTACTAGTTTTGTAGATCTTTTGATGTAGTATTTTGATATGTAATTTTTATTTTTTAACTCTATATCATTTATCATATAAAATGATTTGAAAATAACTTCAGTCAAACATCGTAAATCGAAACAGGCGTTATAAAATGGGACGGAGGTAGTACGAAATAACAAAAATAGAGGCTCAAGGAGGAAGAATAACAAAAATAGAGGATCAATTGGGAGCACTGCCTCCTAATTTTTGTAGTTTAGTTTAGTGCCCCACCGGAAGTTTCGCTCCGGCTCCGCCACTGCCAAACAACAATAATCTTCACTCAAAAGTGAGAAAACCCATACAAAAACGTAACAGCAAACAGAGGCAGTTTTACCGACATCGAGAGGTCGAAACAACAATCCCACCGTTGGATATGAAGAAGAGGATGTCAGAAACAACATACTAGAATTTCATCCCGATCGGAGTTCGTTTGGTCGTTGATCGGAGCACAAAACCAGGCTGTACCTCTCTTTTTATCTCTTCTTCCTTCTCTTGGCTCTCTTTATTTTTCCTTTGTTTTTGCTCTGTGCTGTGCGGCTGCCTTTCTGCCCGTGAGAAGCCCAAAACAAAAGGGTTTTTCTTTTCCATAAAGTGGCAGCCCCCGCTAGTCATTATTAAGTCATTTAAAGAATAATAAAATTTAAGTCTTACATTGAGAAATGACTTATTTTAGTCCTATTCACTGCAAATTTCACTAATTATTATTATTATTATTATTATTATTATTATTATTATTATTATTATTATTGTTGTTGTTATTATTATTATTATTATTATTATTATTATTATTATTATTATTATAATATTACTCCACCTCTAAACAAATTACATTTTTAACACCAAATGTATTATTTAGGAACTCCTTCCTCCATGTAAGAGTGATACCCCAACATATATTTACTCACTATATATATATATATATATATATATATATATATATATATATGGGCTGGATTAAGTGAGAATGCACATTGGTGAAAGAAATAAGAATAAAATCTAGCCTTTGGATATGATGCATTGTGCGGCCCAGATTGCATCCTGCGCTCAGATTTTGAGATAGTGCATTTTCAAAGGTTTTTGGTGCATTTCGACATGATGCATTTTCAAACCATTTTAGTGCACCTAATTTTGATGCAATCCTAATCCTTAGATCTCACAATCTAAAACACCAGATTCATTCTTATTTCTTTCATAAGATCGCATTCTCACCTGAACCAATATATATATATATATATATATATATATATACACACACACACACACACACACACACTAGCATTTGCACGCGCGTTGCGCGAGATTTAGTGCCCGATCACTATTTTTCCGAAGAATGGTTATGTTATTTTTGTGTAATTTTTTGAATATTGTGTAATAATATTGTGTACGTTCTAATAAACAGTGATTGCAATGATTTTTAACGAATGGCAATAATATGTAAGGAAATAATATACAAAGGAATGAAGTAAAAGTCACATAGCGTTCAAGGGTGGAATGTAATTTATTAACTAATGTCTTAATACAAAGTAGACATGCATAATATACATACAATGGAATGGGGCATACCCTTTTTATACAAAGTTTAGTCATGGTGAACAAAACGAACAAGGAAAGGAAGTGAGCAAGAAGAAAGTTAAAACTTTAAAAAGGGATAAGTGAGAAGGAAGAATCAAAGTCGTATCCAGTATCCAGGGTGAAGGGATAAGTTGTGTGCACACCTGCCACAGAAAGATTACACCAAATGATCAAAAAAGATTACACCAAAAGATGGGAGATCATTACTTTTTACATGGATCACATATGAGGAATTAACCTAATGCAAAATAGTTTGAATATAAGCAAATAATGATGGGAGATCATTAGTTTTCACACGAATCACATATAAGCAAAAGTTGGTTGGATGCAAATTTGTATGATTTTATGGTTTAATTAGAGAATATGTTGTTTTTATATGGACATCATATAGAGCTATATTTTTATTGCCTTGACCTAAAACGGAAAAGAAGTAACCACTAAGGTCAATTTCATCTTGCGTAATTGCATATATTCAACTAAACATTGAATATTTCATATTATAAGAACCTTTGTTTAAATGTTACTTATATTGAAATCACACTATATAGCTAAATTCATTATAAAATATGAATGCAATAAGAATGCATGATAGTGAGATACAGAAGATGATTCAGGGAAATGGACATAATTAAGATTAACAAATTGGAGGTCAATATCCCAAACCCCCAAAAAACCTTCGAAAAAGGTTTGAATCCATAGCAGAAATAGGTGTCTATACTTCCCCATAATGACAAATACAAATCTTAAAATCACCAAAAACCAGAATTTATAACTCAAATTCATATAATTGAATAAAGAGAGGATATTGGGATTTGGAAGTACCCGAAATCAATGACATGCTTGCGGAGATGGGCCGGAAAAAGACTGGCAGCAGATGGGAGCATCAGCCCTAGTCTCTTCGTTAAAGATCTAATCTCCTCAAAGCTTTATCAAACGAACACATGGCGTAAAAAGAAAAATAAAAGAGGGTGGGGAAGCTGAGATTGAAGACGGGAAAGAAGGGGCAAGCGTGGAAGACAAGGAAGAAGAAAAATAAAAGATGTACAGTATCCTTCAATTATAGGGGGTGGGGAAGCTGAAATAGACTATTTTTTGGCTCTCCATCGGAGCAGTTTTATGGGCTTTTATCTTCCAAAATTATTACGGAGAATAAAATAGCATTTAGCACTTCCCTTGGAGATGTTCTCAGTCATTTAAATTTGTTAGTTGATAAATATAAACAAGTTTAAAGGACTACAAAGCTAATTGTATTTTCCCCCTAAATAAAAACGAATGTCATTCTGACATATTGATAAATACTTTTGGTGGTTCACAAAACCAATGCTAGATTTACCAAATTTTATTCCAAAAACTGAAAAGTAGTGGTGTTTACTAAAAAGAGGGACCACAAAACCTAAACACGAAAAACAAATGAACAAAATCACCACGAAGAATAAGCATGGGTATGATTTTTTAATGAACAAATTCGAGCAATAATCAATGGCATGATCTGGATTATGTGCAATATGGAGCTAAAACATGTATACCTTGAAGTAAGAGATGGACGAGGGAGAAGCTGACAATAAAAAAAAGTTTAACGCACCTGTAATTTATTCGGTACTAATACCTGATTTTACAAGCACTAAAAAGTAAACAATCGAATTATAATCGCCAAAATTCAATTAAGCACACCTGGACATATCATGTGATAGAAAAAAAAGTAAAACAAACATTTCTCCTATACACATCATTAATTTCCTATAAAGATTTGCATCAACAAAAGATTAATACCTCTGTTTTAGAATGTATTAATGGGTTTTTCTTTGTCAAAGATATCATGAAAATGAAAGTATTAAGCATAGTAATAAAAAAGGATTAGCTGAAATATGATCAGTCGCTCCTAGCAAGAATCCAAACAAAATTATCATATTAAATCTTGATGGAAGCACCATGTGAGTGCTTTGGGAATTATGAATGTCTTAGC